CCCTAAATCTCCCAAGTGGCGACTCTGAAATAAATAAGCAAATCCCGTTTCGATTGTCCTTTAATTGGAAAAAACTCTCTTGCGCCCTCGCGGGTGCGGAAAAAGGAGGTGTGACACATGTAGATTCACCAAATCATCTCTATCAATTATGAGCGTAAATCTCTCCCGAGTAATCACGATAATTTACTAGACGCACTCTCCCGAGATACGCTAGCTGGCTTTGTTTATTACAACTCACTTTAGAATGTACCCAAGGCTTCGTTATCCCTAATCTCGCCTTTAAACCCGCAGTTATTGATCCCTCATATACTTTGGGAGTGGTGTTGTTCAACAATTACCTAAATATGCACTCTCTCCCGAGTTATGCACACTAAATAGGCACAACTAATTGAGGATCCTGTCAATTAACTACAACAAACACGTAGTTGAACAAATAGAGATTAAACTGGCAAACTATATTAACATCACAAGAAGTTCATTCTTCAATAGGTTCCATCAAGACCCTAGACTAAGGAATTAGCTACTCATGACAAAATAAGATAAAACTACTAAATTATTCATAATGGGTAATTGCAAGAAAATAAAAGAGATAGAAAAACTCTAATGTTTGGTTGATCTTCTCACACTTGTTCTTGCCTCCAAAGTAGTCTAAAAACAAGCTTAAAAAATTCTTGGGCGAGTTTTTAAAACTTATAAGGGTTTGGAACAAGTTTTCCCGAATTTACACTTTGGTCCCCAAATTTGCTGATGAGTGAACAGTGCACTGCGGTCGCGGCACGACCGCGGTGAATGTTGAGTATTCTGCCTCGCCTCTTGATCTGCCGCGGTTCCACCGCGGTCGCGATGGAATTTTGCTCAGTACATCTTTTTGCTTCTTTGTGCTCGGTACTTCTTGAGTGAGCGTTTTCTTCACATTATTGCCTCCAAAATACTCCATGGTGTTTCCTCATTTAGACTATTCCCTGCGAAACAAAAGAACACTATTTAGAGCATTTTGTTGGCAATTTGCCTATAAAATAACAATAAAGCATGATAATATTAAGGTGTAAATATCATCTATATAGCCTAATATCAAGAACTACTTAAATTCAATATGAAAAAATCAAATCCATAGATATTCAAGGGAAGTTAATCCCGATTTTGGCTTGAAATAACATATTGAGGTATAGACAGTTAGTGATCATTTGAGTTATAGGACAAGTAATAGCAATCCTCACATAAAAATGTTGGATTACTTTTGTTTCGTGTTTGATTTAAATTCTTATCTTACAATTAACAATTCTAAGAATAGTTATAGCACAATTGTGGTTTTATTTTTATATCATCTTCAATATGAAATAACAATCATGGAATTAATAATGTTAGAATAAAATATTTAAATGACCAAGATGACATTCTTCAAGTCTTACTCCCAATGTTCTTTAGGTAAGGATAAATTATATATATATATATATATATATATCAATTTCTTTCCATTTGTATCTGTTTAAAANAATCCATTTATTTTTCTGGTATTCAAGCAGGTTGGAATGTGTATTATCATAATAATGGTAGAAATGGAATCATTTTTGTTTTGATATTCTATACAAAATTCTATAACTTAATTAATAAGTCTAAGTAGCAGAAGTCTGTTTCTAGGGATGTTTTATCAATTTCTTTCCATTTGTATCTGTTGAAAATTCCAATAAATTCCAATTCAATTTAAGTAGAAAATTCTCTTTCTTCCTCCGTTCATACGTATTTCATACATTCCAGATATGGAGTTGGGTAAAATTTCATGTGATTCAGTAAACAAAATAGAAATGCCATCATTGCTAGATCATTTATCTAATTTATTTAATTAGATGAAGAATGAACTAATAGTGGTATTTTTTGATAAATGGAAAATAAAAAATGCTCGGAGATGGAAATGAGGGAATATTTACAATATCTGGATTTAATCAGATACAATTTGAAGGATTTTGTAGGTTCATTGATCAAGGTTTGACGGAAGAACTTTATAAGTTTCCAAAAATTAAAGATACAGATCAAGAAACTGAATTTCAATTATTTGTGGAAACATATCAATTGGTCTAACCCTTGATAAAGGAAAGAGATGCTGTGTATGAATCACTCACATATTCTTCTGAATTATATGTATCCGCGGGATTAATTTGGAAAAATAGTAGGGATATGCAAGAACAAACAATTTTTATCGGAAACATTCCTCTAATGAATTCCATGGTAACTTCTATAGTCAATGGAATATATAGAATTGTGATCAATCAAATATTGCAAAGTCCTGGTATTTATTACCGATCAGAATTGGACCATAACAGAATTTCGGTCTATACCGACACCATAATATTAGATTGGGGAGGAAGATCATAATTAGAAATTGATAGTTAAGCAAGGATATGGGTTCGTGTAAGTAGGAAACAAAAAATATCTATTCTAGTTCTATCATCAACTATGGGTTTGAATCTAAGAGAAATTCTAGAGAATGTTTGCTATCCTGAAATTTTTTTGTCTTTTCTGAGTGATAAGGAGAGAAAAAAAATTGGGTCAAAAGAAAATGTCATTTTGGAGTTTTATCAACAATTTGCTTGTGTAGGTGGCGATCTGGTATTTCTGAATCCTTATGTAAGGAATTACAAAAGTAAGTCTTTGCTAAAGATTTTCAGGTTACCCTATGGTTATTCAAGGATCCTTTTATGCATTATGTTAGGTATCAAGGAAAATCCATTATGGCTTCAAAAGTGACGTTTCTTTTGATGAATAAATGGAAATTTTACCTTGCCAATTTTGGCAATGTCATTTTTCTCTGTGCTTTCACATAGGAAGGATCCATATAAACCAATTATCCAATCATTCCCGTGACTTTATGGGCTATCTTTCAAGTGTGCGACTAAATCCTTCAATGGTACGTAGTCAAATGTTAGAAAATTCATTTCTAATCAATAATGCAATTAAGAAGTTCGATACCCTTGTTCCAATTATTCCTTTGATTGGATCATTAGCTAAAGCAAACTTTTGTACCGTATTAGAGCATCCCATTAGTAAACCGGTTTGATCTGATTTATCAGATTATGATATTATACCGATTTGGGCATATATGCAAAAATCTTTTTCATTATTATAGCGGATCTTCCAAAAAAAAAAAAGACTTTATATCGGATAAAGTATATACTTCGACTTTCTTGTGCTAGAACTTTAGCTTGGAAACACAAAAGTACCGTACACACTTTTTTGAAAAGATCGGGCTCGGAATTGTTGGAAGAATTCTTAACGTCGGAAGAACAAGTTCTTTCTTTGACCTTCCCGCGAGCTTCTCCTAGTTTGTGGGGAATATATAGAAGTCGGATTTGGTATTTGGATATTTTTTGTATCAATGATCTGGAGAATTATCAATGATTCATTCTTAGATTTTCTAAATGATGAAGAGATAAAAAAAATTCACTATTCTAAAATGTTGATTGTAATAGTAATTAAAGGGTAAATTAACTGAATATTTAACTTTTTAAAGTCTTTCTAATTTCTATAAGAAAGGAACTGATGTATACATAGGGAAAGCCGTGTGCAATGAAAAATGCAAGCACGACTTGGGGAAGGGTCGTAACTTGTTTATTTAATTTAAGATTAACATTTATTTTATTTAACAAGGAATTTATCTACTCCATCCGACTAGTTCCAGGTTCGAATCTCGGGCAACCCACTAGCATAGCGTGGCAAATCATTTGCCAAGGCCATTACCAACAACGGGATTATGTTCGAGATGTCAACTTGAAATCTCGATGAATCGAGGAGAAAAGCATCTACCCTTTCAAAAAAGGATGGAATAGTGACCTGTGGTAAGAGAACCTTTAGCACAAGAGATTAGAAAAAGAATGAATTTATCTTTTTTTTGTTCAATCATTGGATAGAAGGGAAAGACAAGTAGTAAAATTATTCCTCGTCTAGAAATATCCAAATTTTGATGCTCAATACTCCATAGATAGTTCGAACTGTATAAGAGCAATAATCAATTTTCGCTCGAATCGTTTGTAGGGGAACCCTACCTTCTCTGATCCATTCGACTCGTGCAATTTCTTTTCCGTCGATACGCCCCATATTTGTATTACAATTTTAATATAACTTATTCACCAATCAAACAACTCTTAATCTAATACATAAAGTATTTTGACTTCCTTTTCTTGATAAATCATTTCTAGACATGTATGCCTTTTCATATACAAATTTTCTTCAAAAGTATATTCAAGGTAAGTGCAGTCGCATACAACAGTTTCAAATGAACATTAAAAAAGCTAAGAACCTTTGTTATAGTAAATAGTTTTGTCTTTAGATTTTAATTTAATTTTTGAAGAGCTGTATAATGTTTTAGCGGATTTACTTTGTATAATTAAATTTCAACTTTTTTCCCAATAATGAGTAAATAAATTTAGTTGTTGCATACAAATCATAATTTGAATTTTAGACGAGACACCTTTGCCTCCTCACTTTTTAATTTGGACCATTAGGCAAGGCTTTATTAATCCCGAAAACATAGGTTTACAAATCAAATACAAATATATACAGAGAGATACGTAACAAACAAAAGCCATCAATCCTGTCTCATCAGTCATTACTTCTTCTTATTTTAAGCGATAAATCATTACCTGACCAATTACTACTATCATAACAATATTAATTTCAAAATAGTTGAGTTGGAGAGAATTCTATCCACGGTAAAAAAAAATTGTGTTGTGACTATGATAAAAGGTATCAACGTTAGTTTTTAAAAAAATTATTATTTTTTTTTCAAAAATAAGTTCAACCATAAGCAATTACGGTTTTTTTTTAAAACTTTACAAAAACTTAAAAGACATTGGATTTGTTTAAGTTTTTCAAATAGAAAAAAGGATAAAGAAAATAACGATTTGTTGAAAAGAAAGTTCAGATTATTTATTTATTTATTTTTTGCAAAAAAACTTGTTAAGCAAAGATATTACTATTGAATTTAAGATTGGTTTGGAGCATTATTTGGAGGCTGCTAAGTGGTGAAAAGGTTATGTCCAAAAACCCTAAAACTAACTAAAAACACCAGAAATTAACAGAGCAACCCCTCCCACCAGCTCCTCCTCCGCCACTGCTGCCGCAACCGCAACCGCAACCGCAACCACATCCGGCGGTGTCGTAGACGTCAACTGAGTATTCATCTACAGATTGTCTCAGAAAATTCCAGAATTTCCCAAGTATTCCAACCATTCTTCCACTATTTGGGGTATTTGATTGTTTCTTCGAATTGTTTACTCTCGTCCTTTCTATTGTCCGATTGCTTAGATAGTTTCAGCTTATTCATACTTTAGGGGTCAGAATTTCACTTAATTAGAAGAAGAAAATATTTCTATGTGTTGTGAATCCTTAACTGTTATTCAGCTGTTGGAATGACCTTACTTTGCAGCATTTGTTTTGGGATTTTTCTTGGTATAGTGCTTGAGCTTTTCACATTGTACTTATTTGGTGTGATAACTTGCTGAGCCTCTAGCAGCGAAGTTAGTTCCATTCTGCCATGTTTTTTTTTCTTGTTTGCTGTAGAATTAAAGTCTATTATGCTATGTAAATATTAGAGCTTAATATGCTGTCATGAAGGAGCCCGAGACTCAATTGGCTCCCAGAAAGTCAAAGGCATCCTCTTGATGAGGGAATGAATCTTTGATTTTTGAAAGTATAATTTCAATGTCCCTATATCCTTAGTGTCAGAAGGTTTTTGTGCTATTTCAAGCTTTTTCTGTAGGAATTTGTGGTTTTGTATAATTTTTCTACTTCGGAGTTTGAACTCGATTGTGCTTTTTGAAGCATGTTTCGTTTGTAAATCTTGGAGTTTCTATTTTGTGTGATCATGCCAAAGATTGAACTGTGATGCTTATGGTGTTCAAATTCTTTTAAAAAGATGCTTTATTAACATGATTTTTAATTTTCGAATAACAAGCAAAGTTGTAAAACCCATGTCTGTTTTCCTATATGATAGTTGTCCTATGAATTGTGCACAATTGGTGAAGACAAATGTAAAACCATGGTAACTGAAGTAAAATCTGTTATCCCCTGATAAAAGCAATCTGTTATGGCCTCAGTAGATTATACAGGTGGATTAAGATAGTTTATAATTTTTCAATGCATTCTGAGTAGTCTCAGAAGGGTATTTCATCAGTATGCGTTGTCTCCTAATCATGTTTTCCTTTTTTTTTTTGGGTTCTCCTTTTGCAGAGAAACCTCTTCTGGTGCATTGCAGGAAGACACAATTGATATATCCGAAAGAAGCATGGTAATAGGAGATGAGAAAGTGGGTATGCTCCCGAAGCAGAAGAAAAAATCCAAGAAAAGCAATAAGAATGCTGCTACCAATGGTCCAGGAGTGGAAGTGGCTGATGTTGAAATGCTAAATGGTGATTTTAGTTTTGAGGAAGAGAAGTTATCTGTTGTGGAAACCAAGAAAGAAAGGAATAAGGCAAAAATGGAAACTAAAACTGTAGGAGAGAGTGACGATCGTGACATCAAGAAAAAGAAAAAAAGAGAGGGTGGAAAACATCCTGGGAAGTCCATTAAAGGAAGTGATGAAGATGTTGCAATAAGTGTTGAAAAAAAGAAACCCAATAAGTTGAAGAGAAGCCATCAGGATGAGCGAGAGTTACTTCTTGATGCTCCTTTAGACACCAAGACTATTGCTCATGCAAGTGCGAGTGAAACACGAGATAGTAAGAAGGTGGTTGAGGCACTCAGCGAGGTCTCTGGTGGAGATGCAGTAGAGGAGATTAGGAGAAAGAAGAAATCCAAGAAATGCAATAATAATGCTCCGACCAGGGGTGTAGGACTGACAAACAGTGATGTTAGAGCTGTTGAGGGTGATTTAAGCTTAGAGGAAGAGAAGCTGTGTGTTGTGAAAACCAGGAAAGAAAAGGATAAGGTCAATAAGGAAATTAAAGCAGCAGGAGAGAGTGAAGATTATGATGTCAAGAGAAAGAAAGAAAGAAAAAGCAGGACGTTCAATAAAGACTGTGCTGAGGCTGCTCTGAAAAATGTTGAAAAGAAAAGTAATAAGTTAAAGAAAAGCTGCCGGGATGAGCAGGAGACAATGCATCATATCAAGGATGGACAGGGAGATATCATGGCAGAAGTCAATCAAGGTGATATTTCTTCACCTGTAGAAGAGATAGAAGAACAAAGCAGAACAGATAATGGTAATATCAGAAAGAGGAAAAAGGTAATGTTAGGACACAGTTCTGAAGATCCTACACATGAAAAGAGTGAAAAGAGAGTGAGATTCTCTGGTCATGTTCAGATTTTCCCTTCATCCGGTGATCCAAGTGACGAGAATCATGAAACCGAGGAAGAAAATTTACTGCGTGGCAAACGATTCTCGAAACTAGAAGATGAAATTGTCAAAGAAGCTGTTCATAAGTACATAGATATACATAACTTGGGCGAAGAAGGGCTGCACAAGATCTTGAACTCTAGATCTAATCCTGAAGTAAAAGGATGCTGGAAAGAAATAGGGAGTGCTATACCATACAGGCCGTACACTGCGGTTTATTATCGCGCACAGGTCTTGTTCCGAAGGAGTGAGACGCGTAAATGGACTGAAGAAGAGTACGAGATGGTACGAAACTTCCACAAAGAGCACGGGAACAATTGGAAGGTCTTGGCTGATGAACTTGGAAAACATCGGTTTCATGTGAAGGATACATGGCGAAGGCTAAAACTGGCCAATAAGAAGAAAGGACAATGGAGTCAGGAGGAATACCAGACTTTGTTTGATTTAGTAAACACCGATCTGAAACTGAAGCTTTCTGAAGAGAAGAAATCTAAGCATGGGATGTTACGGGATAATATTGCCTGGGGCGCGATAAGTGACAGATTGTCCACGAGAACTGATGCAACTTGCTGCTTGAAGTGGTATGACCAATTAACATCACCCATGGTGGCCAAAGGTGAATGGGCAGATACTGATGACTATCGCCTAGTTGATGCACTTTTTGAGCTGGATGCGAGCTGCATAGAGGATGTGGACTGGGACAATGTTCTTGACCACAGGCCTGGCGAGATATGTCGAAAGAGATGGAACCAAATGGTTCTTCACATAGGTCAACATGGAAACAGGTCATTTGCTGAACAAGTAGAAGTTCTAGCTAAGAGATACCGTCCAGAATTGGTCGAAGTAAGAGAGGCTTGGGATAGTAAACCAGTTATTCCATGATATGGCATTACTCAGCATGGATGTGTCTGTAGAGAGTTGTCTTCAAGTAACACATACCATTGGGATAAACTTCTCCGTCTCTCTCTCTTTCTGTCTCTCATGATTATTGAAAAGTTTTATAAAACATTTAGAAGACATAATTTAGAAGAGGTTCATTTCTGTCTGGTCGAAAGAAAAGGGAAAGATCTCCTCAATGAGATATTGGATTGTTAATCTGCAGGGCAAGAGATCTATCAATTTCAACTGCTACTTGAGATGAAGGTTTTGAGTTTTGACAATGTGTTGTTATCATTGCTCTTATGTTTCTATTCCTTTATTATCTGTAGTGTATCCTTTTTCTATTCTCCAATCTCATAGCATATGGTATGTGTTCAGTACTTAATGTAGTCTTGAAATATCATTTATCACTTCAATAGAGTAAAGGAATACAAAAGCAAAATGGGGATGTAAATGATGAGATGCTTCACTTGATTTTATTTTTCGTTGTGTTTCTCTTACTTTTTTCCAATATTTCCTCACCTTCTGTCAAAAAAAGGTGTAAATAGCTAACTGAAGCAGGTTAGGGTATTTACTTTTCACTAGTAATCTTACTGGCAAAATCTCATACAACAGCTTTGAACGTTGCAGGCTTGCAGCTGTCTACCTTCATTTGTTTCCTAGTAAATATGGCATATATATGCGATGGGTGCTCTCATGTGGAAGACATTTGATCAACCAGCAAATGTAGATGAAAAATGTGCAGGAGTAAATGTTGGATTAATGATCAAAAGAAAAATAAATTTGTTTGATATCCCTCTCAAGTTCATGTTGTTCTAAACTAGCTCTCTCATTAAAATTTTGTAAATATCTTCAATCGTATATATCAGAACGAACATTCTGTCTTGTGAATGTGCAACTCAATTTCCTTCTACATATGATGCACAAAAGGAATAGAGCCAGAATTTTGTCATCCAGCTGTAAATGATGCATGAAAGGTAAATCAACATTGATCCTGTTATATCAGATATGGAACTATATGTATAGGTTCTTGGTGCTGCAATGTTTTATGCTAAAGTGGGTGATGCTGCTACAGTATACACTGGCGATTATAATAGACATCTTGGAGCTGCTCAAATTGATCGGCTGCAGCTGGACCTTGTCATAACCGAGTAAGTAGGTCAACATATCATCTTCTGTCACTGTCACAACCATTCAGGACATTTGCACCAAATGCTTCAGCTTTAGACTGGGGTAAAGACTATAAGATGTTCGCTTCAATAGTTGGCATAATAGGAAAGTATTTATTTATTATAGTTAATTCGAAGCTTGGCTTTGCTTTGTAGTATTTGTGCTTTCTGTTAACTTGATTCCTCCATCTCTGCCAGTGATCAGCAGGGGGACTACTTTCAGTGTTTCGCAGGAAAAAAGGTAAGATGGTGAATGATTAAACCTATGTTGAATCTGACTTAGTGGAGTTATAACAGGAGCTTAGTAGAGTTGCATTCAAAAAAAAAAATATATGTATGGTTGATTTTAGCTTCCTTTAAATGTAGCAACAGTTAATGCAACTACATTTTGTACATAGAACAATATATCTGAGCATAAGCTGTAAAATAAATTATTGGAAAATCAGTTCTCCGCTTTGGAAAGAGCTTTCAAAATGCAAGAAGATTAGGTTCTTGGAATCAAATCATAAGAAATGATGCCATCGTGCGTTGCGTTACGTTACGTTACAAAAATACTAGTGGATAGAGAAAAAGTGGGAACCAAAAATCAGAAGAAAAAGAGAGATTGGACAAAGGAAAATTGTATTAAAATGAAAGTTAGCTGTATGCCAGCCCTGTAGGAAGCTATAACGAAAAAGAAGAGAGATGAGACAAGAAAGAGGTCACGTATGCATTTACGTTAGACTCCTATATTTGCTAATGCAAACGACAACCGAATGTCTATCTATATTGAAGTCTGAAGATTATAAGAGTTCACATGAGATATGACCAATGCCTTACTGTATTTGCAAAAAACAAAACAATGCCGACACTGCCGTGCTTCAATTTGAAGCTCCTTCATCTTATTTTAATCATATTTATATTTGAGATTGAGGCATACGTAATTGATTGATTGTTATTGCTACCATTTTTTACCAACTGATTTGCTCAGGAGTACAACGAAACAACCTTTGTGGCTTCCAATGAATCAAGACCCACTAAAATAAGAAGAAAACAAATAGTTTGTTCTAACCGTCCTTGACAAATTTTTAAGAAAAACGAAAAAATTGAGCTTCTGAGAATTCGCTGTAATATTTAATAGATGATTAAGATATAGTGACATCCATTTAAAGGATAAAAACTGTTAGGTGTTTGTCCTAATTATCTTATCATATTGGTTTTTTTTTTGTTTTTTTTAAGGAAGAATAATATATTTATCATAATTGATTTATTCTTTTACGAAAAGGAAATTATAATTCTTTCATATTTGGTCAGTTATTTTTCTTTGAGTAAATTTTTTTGACTTCTATAAATTAAAGATCCTTCCTCTTACTCAGTAGCATCCACAAGGGATTTGAGAGTCTTGTTTAGGGAGAAAATTTCGGGACAAGTGTTACCTGCCACTTGTGTTTGCCTCTTTGTGAGATTGTTCTCTCAATATTTTGTACTCTCTTTCATATAGTGGATTGCTCATTTCTGCCCGTAGACGTAGATCAATTGACCGAACCACGTTAAATATTTATATCTATTTTGGTATATTTTCTTTTTTTGTTTGTCTGATTTATTGTAGATCAGGGTTTGCTTTACTAGCTTTCGATGACACCTGATTATTTCTATCCAAACAAAAACTACTACGACACATGGCAAAGACTTCGACTCCTCCTATGATATATGGTCGGCAAGTAAGAAAATATATTATCCTTTTTCCAACGAGAGAGTTCAACAAGTCACGTTGGTCTGCCATTTTAGTAATAGTAAAACATTATTAAATGAACTTGTATGAAAAAAGATAGTGGAAGTAAATGTTGACATAATATAAGGACTTATAGACTGTAAATTGTACTTCTTGTTTGACGAATGGTATCATGAAAGTAAAGTTTTCTTGAATTCTAAGACTGATGAGTGCGCGCGGAAGTCAAAGGTTGTTGGCACCACCACTAGCAAGTGTCACTTATCATGGTGTAGTTTTGGTTACTTGGTTCACTCTGATGTCTCTATAAATAGAAAAATCTGCATTGATATACATATTGTCCACCTCAAGCAATAACAACCTTTCCTCATCAGTCCACCACGCCACATTTTCAAAATTTAAATTTGATGAGTTAAACTTTCAAAATTTTATTATTAATTATTACATGGAAATTTTTGGATTCAAAATTTAATTTGATACTTATAGTATGTTGGTGTAAAAAATACCGTGTTCAGTTGGATCCCATTGGATAAAATCTCCATCTATTGACTGCTGCGGCCTAGCACGTATGTGGACCTCTATTCTAAGTAACTAGTGTATTATGGTAAATTTAGTAATGTGTCGTATATAAGTTGTATCAAAAATACCGTATTCAGTTGAACCTGTTGAATAAAATCTCTATCTGCTGAATGCCCCCGCCTAGCACGTCCGTGGACCTCTATTCTAAGTAACTAGTGTATATAAATAGCTAGCTAACTGCTCATTCATATTAAACCCAAGGCTAGCTCCAATTTCACTAAAAGGGGCTCTGCATATTTTAACTGGTTGTGATATTTCTGTCGTAGCCAAAGCCAAAAGCTTGCCGGAAAACCAGAGGATGATGCCACCAACTTTAAAACTGCTACTATGGTGCTGCTTGTGTTTGTGTGGTGTTTTTACGACGACGTATGCTCGTCCTCAGCCTCGAAATCTGATCGTTGATTCAAATTCCACTACTTCCAACGACGAGTTCATCCGCAGAAGCCTCTTGAGCAATGGCCTCGGCCGAACTCCTCAAATGGGGTAAGATTTTGTTTTCGAGAAGTTAAATTTGTTTGTACAGGACATTATTGAAAGTGGAAGAGTATAAGTAGTGTTGTTGTTATCATAAAAGATAACCACGAATGCAGAGTATGGGATTATAATGGCAGCTCGTGAACTTGTCAAGTTGTCCATACTTATTTAATTCAAAAACAAACAAAAACTATTCAGATGGGACAGTGATTTAGCCCCCTTAATTGACTTGGATTTTCCATTCACGTGGACCCCACTCCACTTATTTTTGTGCAAAATCAGAGAAAAGGGTATGTTTCAAGAAGTCAGTTTAGTGACTAAACTATCATAATTCAAGATTTAAATGTCTTTTTTTTTTTAAAAAATTATGTGAAACAATTAAATTTAGATACAGGCTAGCTTTGGATGGTTAAGTGTTGTTGTTGTTGTGGGTGATAAACAGATGGAGCAGCTGGAATCATTTTGCTTGTAATATTGAGGAGAAAATGATAAGAGAAACAGGTCAGCTAAATTATTGACAAGAGTCAAATGAACAAATTCATGTACCATAGCTCTTTGCTACAATACAGTTGTCACAAATTGGTTTTATATATATATGTGGCAGCTGATGCAATGGTATCTACTGGACTTGCTTCTCTTGGTTATGAATACATCAACATAGGTAACTTTATATTTACCATGTTTGACAAATGAGTTTAACTTCTAAAACATATAGTTACATTTAATTAATTATTTATAACAGGTGAAATTCAAACTTGAAAAATAAATTAAGCAAGTAACTTGCTATGACGGGTAAATTTACAGGGAAGTGTAAAAAATTTACACCATTAGAATATTAGTGTTATCCTTAATGAAACATAGTTTTTCTTGTTACTAATTTTACTTCCATAATTTGACACCTAATCAAATTTTTGTCATATTTTCTTCCTTCAGATGACTGCTGGGCCGAACTCAACAGAGACTCTCAGGTACACTAAAATGCGTCCCTGTTTCTTATTTCTAACTCTATTTATCTATTAATATGTAATACTTAGTACTTACTTTCTAAGGTAATGAGAACACTTACTAATTTGTGTGTTATGCCTTTAATAATGTCATCTTACAATTTCTTTATGCAACAGAATAGGCTCGTAAATGGAACTTTATTTAAGTATTAAGGAGGGAATTTCAACACTTAAGATAGAGTTCAATCATCAATACCTAACAAAATGGCCAAAAGGCAAACAAGGAGGAAATACCATTATCACGATTGCATTTGCGGCTAATGTTTTGGTAAAATAGCACGGGCTAGCCAGTTTTCGGACTGGTCATTCAAAAATAGTCAACGTTTGCAAAGTCATTGAAAAATAACCACTATTTTGCTGCAACACGGAAAGTTCCAGCATAATATACTGGAGATTGGTGCACTTGTGTATGAACTTCCAGCATATTATGCTGAAACTCCAACACGCGGAAAGTTCTAGCATAATATATTGGAGATTGGAGCACCGGTGCTCCAATCTCCAGTATATTATGCTGGACCGGTAAATTATACTAGAACTCCAGTATAATATACTGGAGTATTTTTCCGGATTTTGAACAGTGTTTTCATTCAAAATTATCTTTACATGAAAAATGGCTAAATTTTGATTACTTTTGAAACTGTGGCTATTTTTAAATGACTACTTGTAAATCTAACAATTTTTAAATTTCTCCCAATGTTTTGCCGACAAAGGAAAAAAGCCCAATAGTCAATAATACGCTTTAAATATGAGACTATTTAGAGTACAGAAAACTTCACAAAAAAAAAAAAAAAAGCTGTACGAAACATTGGATGCATCTAACGTCAATTAGTTTAAATATTGAAATGTAGAGACGGATCTAAAATTTTAAATTAATAGGTGTGAAGAATTACTGCACACACTATTTTGTTATAAAACTATTCTATAAAGTCAAGTTGAACGCAATGAGTGAAACTGTATTTGCAGCTTATATTGTATATCTGCTCCTGGATTTATAACACTTAATTTGCATGTAAACTTAGTTGAATTTTTTTTTGGAGGTAATTTCCACGTTGAGTAGAGCATATATAAAATAATTTGAATAAAGTCGTGGAGTAGTTGATACTAAAGCTTTTAACAAAATTTGACAGGGAAATATGGTTCCTAAAGGTTCTACTTTTCCTTCTGGAATTAAAGCACTAGCAGATTATGTTCATGGCAAAGGATTGAAGCTCGGAATTTATTCTGATGCTGGGTAATTTTTATTTGTTTTATTTTTTGATTTTGGTAACTATCAAATTTTATTAGTCACCAAAGCAAAACAATACATCTTAGTCATAATTTTATTAATTCCTTTAAATTTGGGGTATTCTCACTTTTAACCCGCGCCAGAAACTATTTACATTCGACAACTGAAAAGTGTATAATATTTGAATAATTTGTGTATATAATATAACATACAAAATGTATATATATACAAAAAATATACATTTTTCGGCTATTACTTTAAGAGCGGCTATACAGTGTTATTTTCCCTTTAAATTTTATGTATCCCTTCATTAGGTGGTTGTAATATTGTAATGCATACATTAAATAGACGTACAGCTAAATCAGTTTTGAAATTTCCAAGAATTGATAAACGACATTCAAATTACTAGCTGTATTTTTGTAATGCAGGAGTCAGACGTGTAGTAAACAAATGCCAGGTTCATTAGGACATGAAGAACAAGATGCAAAAACTTTTGCTTCCTGGGTATGTTTGCTACACATAATATCAGTTTGCAGATTATATTTGAGTATATAATTTTTGCTTTTGTATTTAATCTCTAATACTTAACTTATCCCATCTTACTTAGGGCGTTGATTACTTGAAGTATGATAACTGTAACAACGAGAATCGAAGTCCAAGAGAAAGGTACTACTTGGCATTCAGACTTCACTGCCCCCTCTCTCAATAAGAATAAAATACCTACCTTTTGTTATTATTTTTCCGGTAGCCGATATATATAGATTATAAACTTATTATAACGATATCTATTTGGGTTAATGCTTCTATTTTGAGAATGTGAATTAACAGTATTTGTTTCCTTAAATGAAACAGGTATCCCATAATGAGCAAAGCTTTACAGAACTCTGGAAGGGCTATATTTTATTCCCTATGCGAATGGTGAGTATATTTCTTGTTTTTTAATGTGATGATGCCATTGGAAGCACATTTAGATTAGATTTAATAAGTATTTTTTTTCCCAATTTAAGGGGAGATGATGATCCTGCCACTTGGGCTTCCTCTGTTGGAAATAGTTGGAGAACTACTGGAGATATTTCTGATAATTGGGACAGGTAAAATAAAAAAAAAAAAAAAAAAAAAAAAAAAAAAAAAAAAAAAAAAAAAGAGATAGAGAAGTGCTCTTCAAATTTTTAATTTAAAATTAAGAAACATAGAAACTTCCATTTTCCTAGCTCATTAAGGTTGTTCATATAAACTTCCTTTAAATTCGGCTCCCATTTTAATCAAATTAGTAATTTCATTTCGTATTTAACCTTGGCAGCATGACTTCTCGGGCAGATATGAATGACAAATGGGCATCTTATGCTGGTCCAGGTGGCTGGAACGGTAATTATTAGAATTTCATTTATTTAATTTGATAATAAAATATAGATTAATTTTCCCAACTTTGAATTAATTTGGCATGGTGTTTGTGGTTACAGATCCAGACATGTTGGAAGTTGGAAATGGAGGAATGACAACGGCAGAATATCGTTCCCATTTCAGCATATGGGCATTAGCAAAAGTCTGTGGTGATTATAATTCTGAATTTAACTTTAAAAAAAAAGATCTCTTTGCAAATGGACTTTAATTTGTTATGTACTTTTGTTTGTTATAGGCGCCTTTAATAATAGGTTGTGATTTACGTTCGATGGACCAAACTGCCCATGAAATCCTAAGCAACAAAGAAGTTATTGCAGTTAATCAAGGTAAAAAAAAATTTCTTCTTCTTCTTCTTCTTCTTCTTCTTTCAGTTGCATTCTAACAAGACTAATGCTAGGAGACTAGAACATAACATTTTTCTACTTGTTTAAATTGAGATCAGATAGACTTGGAGTTCAAGGTAAAAAAGTAAAGCAGGATGGAGAATTGGAGGTAAGTAATTCTTTAAATGACCCCAATCCAATTTGTATGTCCACTTAACTCTTCTTTAATACTACTACAACAATAATATACCCAATGTATTCCGATAAGTGGAGCCTGGGAGGGTAGGATATACACAGATCTTACCCCTATTGTTACGATCCGGATTTTCCACCGTCGGGATCGTGATGGCGCCTAACTTTTCAGAATACTAGACAAGCCAACAGATAAAGATTTAATACGCTAACCACTATCCAAATCAGTAAATAACAATAATTAAACCAAAATAGAGTAAAGAAGTGCGAAAATTCATAATAATCCAAGTACTACTACACGACTACCCAAAATTTGGTGTCACAATCCACGAACTTCTAAGAGTCACTACAAATACTGGCTGAAAGAGAATACAACTGTTCTCGAATCTAAAGAAAACAGGAAACTAAGATAACTGGAAGGGGACTCCAGGGTCTGCGAACGCCAGCAAATCTACCTTGGGCCTCTTGTTGGACTGAAGGCAGCAACTCACTCGGGTCAGCACGGTCCGGTACCGAAATCTGCACAGAAAGTGCATAGTGTAGTATCAGTACAACCGACCCCATGCACTGGTAAGTGCCGAGCCTAGCCTCGCGAAGTATTGACGAGGCTAGGACATGACACATATATAAACCTGTGCAGTTAAACAATATACGGGCATAATAACAGATAATAGAAATAAAACACGTAATAACGGGATGGGGAAAACATGTTGAGGGGAGTACGAAATCATGAGAATAAAACAGTAAAGAGAAACAACAAAACAAGTGCACGACATCAACCTTCATGCTTTTACTCTCGTCCTCACCATTACAAATGAAAGAAACAATGATAATGAATATAAAATGGCACGGCATCACCCTTCGTGCTTTACACTCTTTCTCACATGATAATAAATATGAAATGACACGACATTACCCTTCGTGCTTTACACTCTTCCTCACATGATAATAAATATGCAATGGCACGACATCACCCTTTGTGCTTTACACTCTTCCTCACATGATAATAAATATGAAATGGCACGGCATCACCCTTCGTTCTTTACACTCTTCATCACCCAAACAACAAAACAATAACAACCAGGGAATATAATTATTAATAACAAGCCCCATTTCAATATTCAATTTCACAACGTCAATCTCAACTTTGGGTCAATACTCAACCAATATCCAATTCCGGTAAAACATGATAAGAATTGCTCAAAACGAAGAATAACCAGTTTAAACATGTATAAATACAAATAAAGAATACATCAGTCATAAGAATTAGACCCACTCGCATGCTATGACCCGACAATCAACGTATAGGTACTCGTCACCTCACCTATACGTTGTACTCAACAACCAAACACATAGCAAATAGACAACAATACCTAATCCCTCAAGCTAAGGTTAGCCACAACACTTACCTCGCTACCACGGTCAAACTCAAAGCTCAATCACCGCCTTTCCTCTAGATTCCACCCCCAATCCACTTGTATCTAGTCATAATTAACTTAATAACATCAATTATTGCTAAAGAGATCAATTCCAATGCATAATTATAAGTTTCCCAATATTTTCCCAAAAAGTCAAAACCCGACCCCGGGCTCGCTTGGTCAAAACTCGAGGTTCGGATCAAAATCCATTCACCCATTCACCCCCGAGCTCAAATATGTAATTACTTTCGAAATCCGATCCCAAATCGAGGTCTAAGTTTCAATTATACAAAAATCTCTAATTCTACGCAAACCCCCAATTTCCACCATGAAACCCTAGATTTTAGGTTGAAAACTGATGAAATGCAATGGGTAATTGGAAGAAAGTAGTTTATAATCATTTACCAATACCTTGGGGAAGAATCTGTCTCTTGAAAATCGCCTCTAAACCTTCTAGTATTTGAAAATATGAAAGAATGGCCTAATTCCGTTTTTGGTTATGTTTTTAAAACACTGGATAGGTCTTCTTCGTGTTCGCGAGAAGCCTGTCGTGTTCGCGAAGCTTTGGCCCTATTGGCCTTCACGTTCGTGAGTAACTCATCACGTTCGCGAAGGCACATCCCCTCATCCTCTGCGTTCGTGATCCAAGTGTCGCGTTCGCGATGCGTTAACTTCTCCTCCCTCATGTCCAATGCTTCGCGTCCGTGGTAGACAGGTCGCGTTCGCGAAGGGTAAAGCCCTCGCTGCTTCGCGTTCGCGACTAGTCCTTCGCGTTCGCGAAGAAGAATTTCCCCCTCCCCCCTCTTTACGTTTCGCATTCACGATACTACCTACGCGAACACGAAGAATGGCATATCAGAACAACTGCTGTAGCAAAAATACCAAATTTTCTAAGTGTAAAACATCCCGTAGCCTGTCCGAAACTCCCTAGAGCCCAAGGTGCTCCAAACCAACCATGCACACAAGTTTTAAAATATCATACGAACTTGCTCGCGCGATCAAATCGCCAAAACAACACCTAGAATTACGAATTTAGCATTAAATTGCATGAAATTTTCAAGGATGATTCAAAACTTATATTTTCTCAATTCTCAACCAAATGCCTGAATCACGTCAAATCAGTTCCGTTTTTCACCACATTTTACAGATAAGGTATAAATATCATAACGGACATGTACCGATCTACAGAACCACCATACGGACCTGGTATCAACAAGATCAATTATTGACCAAATTCTTAAAACCTTTATAATTTCATTTTAACAATTTTCATCAAAAATTCATTTCTCGTGCTAGGGACCTCGAAATTCGATTCCGGGCGTACACCCAGATCTCATATTTTACTACGGACCCATCGGGACCGTCAGAACACGGGTCCGGGTCCGTTTACCCAAAACGTTGACCGAAGTCAACAAAATCAACTTTTTAAGCCAAAAATTATTATTTCTTCAGTTTTTCACATAAAAGCTTCCAGGATACACGCCCGGACTGTGCACACAAATCGAGGGGGAATAGAATGAGGCTTTGAAGGCCTCGGAACATCGAATTGAATTCTAAAACACAAGATGGCCTTTCGAGTCATCACACCTACCTTGTGTAAGGTAGAAATGTTGTTTCCGATAAATCATCGGCTCAAGAAAAATATTTTCAAAATAGGTTTGAAGAAAAATTGTTTACAACAAAAATAGTAAATATGATAGCCCGGTGCACAAAGCATCTCACGCTCACGCAAGGTTTGGGAAGGGCCGCACCCCTGAGTGGTGTGATGTAGACAACCTTCTAGCCTAATGTAAGTATTAATGACTGTTTCCGCAGCTCAAACCCGTAACCTATATAGACCACACAAAAAAACTTTGCTGTTGCTCCAAGCTCCCCTTCTTTTTTAACTCTTCTTTATTACACAAAACTTGCAAATACACTATAACAGGTTTGGGCAGGACCTTTAAGTGGCAAAAGGGTAGCAGTGGTGCTATGGAATAGAAGTTCATCGAAAGCTGATATCACTGCTTATTGGTCTGATATAGGCCTTGATTCTTCCACTGTTGTTGATGCACGAGACTTGTGGGCTGTAAGTCTTTCATTTATTCTTTTTTTCTAATTTAAATTGCTCACATATGATTAGTTTAACATGATCAATATTGAGATTTTATAATATGTGACGTTACTAAGAAGTTGAAAGATTAATTCCAGTCCAATTATGTCTTTATTACTTGTTAAAATTTTTAGAACTATCTACAGTGCATAGAAATAAATCTTTACGCAGAGGTGGATTTTATGTTTTAGTTAATGAATATAAGGTATTATTGTAGTAATTACTCTTTTGTAGTGATGGTACGGTCCAGTTGAATAAGGAAATACTTTAGTATGACTAGGTATAATTTAAATAATAGAAAATAATCCTTCAAAGATCTCATGTATCTTTTTTACCTATCTCATGTAATGTCCCATGAAAAGAGTCATATATCTATAATTCTTGTTTTATTTCCAAAGCAAAGGAGAAGTGTGATTTTGAAATGTATAACTTTATTTGGAAGACTACTTAGAGAAAGTGATAAACAAGAGATAGTAAAAAGATAAGCATCATTGTATTTGTATATTTACATGCAAGTTTAACGTGAATAACATATATCAATTGAATTGGTTTGCAGCATTCAACAAAAGGATCAGTTAAAGGACAAATATCAGCTAGCATTGATTCCCATGATTGCAGGATGTATGTTCTCACTCCTACAAAATAAGTTCAACCAAATTATGTTTGGATAAATTATGTGGAAAATACCACATTGCTGAAGGAGGCATATATACCTCATTTAATTAGAATAAGAAAAATAAGTTATGTAGTTTTTATTTGTCAGCTAGCACGAAAGACTGTCATTTTACTATATGGAGATGTATTGAACTTAGTGCATGATGTTTTCTTTCTCTCTATTTACTTTATGTTTATCATTTTATTATTTCAATTTCGGTTACTTTAGATGCTACTGCTTCATTTCCGTTTCCTTAATAGATTTTATTTTTAGCATTTACACTTATCAGAAAAGGAAATAAACCGGACATGGAATACATGATCACACAGAGTTCTACACTACATTCACCAACCATAGGATGAAAACTTAACATATAATTTTTTTCCCCCAAATATAAGAGGGCTACATTAATTTATAAATCCGATCAATTTACAGAGGGAGTCAAAGGCTATATTACATAACCATATTGGAGTTTTTTCCAGGAGACCTGTTTAAATAGAGTTTAAGCAACATTAGCTAGAGATACTAGAGTTCAACTAATAAAATAAAATATATTCCGTCTTTTTCAATTTGACTTACTTTTTTTTGTCTATTTGAAAAATAGTGTGTCTGTCTTTATCAAATAAGTTTGATATTCTAGGAATGGCAGAGATGTTTAAGACTTTAAGATTTAAATGATATTTTTTAGGATGTTGTCACACCTTTAGACTTTAATTTAAAAACACAGGATTCAAAAGTATTTTTTTACATTTATTAGCCTTCATACTCAGTTAAGGCACACAAAGTGAAATAGATGGAGTAACATTTTGAAATGAGCATTACAATGCGCACTTTTCTTTTTGACTTTGTGTGACGCCTGCTGCGACGGAGGACGAGTTAAGCAGGACTAACATGCTGCTAGGCTAGTAAGTTTCTGAAGAAGAGATGGACATGTTGACTTAGGCAAATCCTACATCAAAATATGAGAGAAAAGTGAAGAGTTTTATAAGGCACAACACACGTTCACATAGTACACACACTTTTGGGCTCGATGATCGCGTAGCCCAAAAGACAAATCCGTCAGACCTATTAGGCCAAAGCAGATAAACATGCCATGAACTTGGGTCATGACAAATATGATATTAGAGCCTGACTCTCTCTCACGACGGTGGAGGAGCAACCCTCAGTGATGACGCACCCACGATGGAGGGTGAGTCGAGCAAGACTAATAGGCTTTTAGGTTGTTATGCTTCTGAAGAAAGGTGAATCCACATTAGAATGAGAGAAGAAACACAATACAAGTTCACATGATACACACGTTTTTTGGACTCGATGATGTCGTAGCCCGAGACCAATATGTGAGGTCAATTGGGCCAAAATGGACAATACATGCCATAGACTTGGGTCGTGATACTTAGTAGAAACAACGTTTGCTTAACTAGTTGGATTATTGTAAATCTAATATTAATAAAAATAAAACAGAAACTCAACCAAACAAATGGAACTTAAAATTCTTGACTCAATGGAAACAACAGATGCTTCACTATTTGGAATGGTACAAAATACAAATCTTATTGAAAAACTCAAAACGAAAAATATTTAACTTAATTAAACTTCTTTGTGGAAACAACGGATGCTTCACTATTTGGAATAGAACAAATTAATGTAATTAAGTAATTTTATTATAACACAAATCAGATCCCTGAGTTGGTTGGTGCTATCTGTTTAGTTAGAATGAAGGATTACAATTTTAACTACGGAAAAGGGTCATACATGTTAGTGAACTATGCGAATTAGGATAGATATGCCCGTCATTAATAGTTTGGCTCATATATGCCCAATCCATCCAATACTTGCTCATTCATGCCCTTAGTTTAATGGAATCACTATTTTATCTTTTTTAAATAATTAATAACCGGACCCAACCAAAATTATTATTTTGTAATTGAAAATCTGAAAATCATACTCAAAGAATTTTTTTCTAGTTTAACTCCTCAAATATTAATAATGTCAAAGAAGAAGTAACAGTTTGATATAAAATGAGACAGAGGATATTAATTTTTTTTTCCGTGTTGCTGCTTGTTTGACAACTAATATTGACAATTCATGACAACAAAAATATTGTTGTAACGACTCGACTGGTCGTTTTACTTTTTAGAACCTTGTTCCCCTAGATAAGATTTTCCGTACTTGCTTTTACTGATTTATAACTTGTGGGAATGGTTGGTTCAGGATTTGGAAGAGTTTGGGTTGAAATCGGAACACTTGGTTCCTTAAAGTTGACTTAAAAGGCCAAGTTTGACTTCGGTCAACGTTTTGAGTAAACAACCTCAGAATCCGGATTTGAAGGTTCCAACAGGTTCATATGATGATTTCGGACTTGACCGTATGTTCGGATCAGGTTTTGGATGATCCGGGAGCGTTTTGGCGCCTAATAGTGAAAGCTGATTCCTTAAGAATATTGAAGTTCTTAAATATTTGTTTTGGAGCAGTTTTTGTGTTATCGAGGTTCGAACGGAGTTTCGAGACCGAAAATAGTTCCGTATTGTCATTTAAGACTTGCATGCAAAATTTGGTGTCAATCCGAGTAGTATAAGTGTGTTTTGTCGCATTGGATGTAAATTGAAGGACTTGAAGTTCATAAGTTTGATTCAATTGGTTTTAGGGGGTGATTCTTAGATTTAGCGTTGTTTCGGATGTTCCGAGGGTTTGAGCAAGTCCGTTTTATGATTTCAAACTTGTAGGTATGTTCGGGCGGGGCCCCGAGCGTCAATCGGGCGAGGCTTGAGTGAAGTTGGAAAGTTTTGGAAGGAGCTGAAGCTGCTGGTATCTGTCATAACCGCACCTACGGTTGGTCAGCCGCAGGTGCGAGACTGCAGAAGCGGTCGAGCCTTCGCAGGTGCGGCCAGGGGGAGGAGCCCAGGAACTGCAGATGCGGATCCTCTTCCGCAGGAGCGGCCCCTAGATCGCAGAAGCGGTCCCAGTTAGCCCAGCCCAACTCCGCAGATGCGGACATTCCCTCGCAGAAGCGAGACCGCAGATGCGGTCCCCTAACCGCAGGTGCAGAAATCGCTGAAGGCAGTGCCTTCATTTAATACAAAAATGTGTCATTTTTGACACATTTCCTTCATTGTTTGGGCGATTTGGGAACTTCCAAAGCGAAATTTCAACCTAGCATTTGTAAGATAAGTTACTTCTACTTAATGTGAGTTCAATACTTGGGTTATGGGTAGATTAACACACAAAAATTAGTAAAAATCATGAGATTAGATTAAAACCTAGGGTTTTGATAAAAACAAGATTTTACCACAAAATTTGTTATGGAATGAAGTAGAATCATATATTCTTGATCCTTAGGTTATGGGCACGTGGGCCCGAGGTTGAATTTTAGAAAACTTGTATTTAGGGTTGAGAAATTTCTTTAATGGTTAGAATATGAACTCTTGAGTTTGTATTGACTAGTTCTTACTCTATTTAATTTGTTTTGGATTGTTAGGCTCCAAATTGAGGGTATGAGCGCATTCTTGATATTTGATAGTAAGATTTGGAGTGAGAAGAGTCTCATTTCTAACCTCGTAAGAGGGAAATAAACCCATAGGTGAATCTAATAAATGTATGTGATTGTCTGTGGGGGCTACGTACACATGTGGTGACGAGAGTCCGTGCGTAGCTACTATTATGCTAATTGTCCGGGTAGTTTAGGACTCGTATCATGCTATACTTGCAAATGCTTATGTTCTTACTTGCTAATGAGATCACTTAGGACATGTTAGGGATTCAAAATAAAATTAATGAATGTAACGTACTTAATTGAGAACTTGTATAAATTTACTTGACTATAAATGCGTCTTTATATGTCTTCTTGATAATAATTTCTATTTGTGGATCGGGCCGATCGCCTCGGTAGAAATATATGCATCTATGGTTCGCGCCATTCGACCATCTGGCAGTGCACAATTATTATTATGTTGGACCGGGCCGTACGACCTCAGCATAACGTGCGCATGATATTTATGTGGAAATAAATCCATGATTTACTTTGTTTAAATGCTTTAAAGTGCAAATTATTATATGACATGACTGAAATTGACATGTTGTTTCCTCCAAATTCTGAGATTATTATTATATTCATGCTAATCATGCTAGGTGTAAGCCTTATACATTATTATTGATATTGACCTTAGTAAGTGTCAAGTTGACCCCTCGTTACTACTTCTTTGAGGTTAGACTGGATACTTGCTAGGTAGATGTTGTCTATGTACTCATACTACGCTTCTGTACTTAACTGTATAGGATCTGAGGCAAGTGCATCTAGTTACCCCTCTGGTGCGCGTTGTTGATTCCTGATCGAGATCCCACGGTGAGCTGCCCCTTCTGAGTCGTTCTGCAGCATACCAGAGATTCTCTTCTTTTTCGTTGATTATATACTGTCTACTCTGTTTCAGGCAGTATGATAGTGGTATTTTGTATATTCTACTAGTTGCCCTAGTACATGTGACACTAGTTCCTGGCACACACTGTAGACTATCATTTTTGGGTTACATTTTTATTGTTATGAAATTGTTGATTTTCGATCTGTTAAAATATAAGTTAAGTAAATGTTGGAAATGCTTAAATAAAATTATTGAGAACTCGCTAGTTAATTAGGTTTGGCTTGCCTAACAACGATGTTGGGTGCCATCACGACCTATAATAGAATTTGGGTCTTGATAACATGGTATCAGAACACTAGGTTCACGTAGGTCTCACAAGTCATGGGTTAACCTAATAGAGTTTTGCGGATCTGTACGGAGACGTCTGTACTTATCTTCAGGAGGTTATAGGGTATTAGGAAGCTATTTGTTATTCATCTTCTATCGTGCAGTTGAAGGTATACTAAATTTCCTTCTTATATTCACTCACAGATGGTGAGGACGCGCACGACAAATGTTCCAGACCCGGGAGGAGATGCTTCCCCCGTTGCTATAGGTCGAGGAAGAGGCCGGGGGAGGGCACCGGCCCGAGGTAGGGGACGAGGGCATCCCAGAGCTGTCATAATTGCACCACCGGCGGATCCTGTAGGGGATCCTATCATTGAGGAGCAGTGAGAGGTGCCCACAGCTGAGCCTACCCCGGAGGACTTTATGAAGGCACCTGGTTTCCAGGAGGTCATGAGCCATATACTGTGGTTCATGGATACCATGACTCAGGCTGGTTTATTTCCAGCAGATCCAGCTACATCTCAGGCG